AAGATGCTATAAATTTACATGTATATGTATGTTGTTTTTTAAACTATATATAAACATAAGATATAGAAACACTGCTTTAAGAAATATATATTTTAGAAATAATATTTTATAGAATATATATTTTAGAAAATTTTTTGAAAACTCATCAGTAAATATATTTCTTAAATTGTAAATTTAATTAATATGTAAATTTATAGCGTTGTGTTTCTATATCACATGTAAATTTATAGCGTTTTGGAGTGCCCCTGTGTCATATATGCTTCTTCGATTTTAAGCCATGCCAGTTTGTCTCCATTGCAATTGTCAATATGAAATTCATTAATTTATTGGCGATTCCCAGCAGCATGTCGGAGGACAACCTTAATTGAAATAGTTGTATAAGGCAAAACTATATTTACTTTACTACTGTACCACTTACCTCAAAGGGTAATGACAAAGCAGGAAACATTTTTCAGAATCACAGTGGCTGGCTTTGTTCTTCAATAACCTCATGGCGATGCATTGCAAAGCTAGAGTCCCTGATCTCTTTTATTGGTGTTAGGTTTCTTGTCTTTCCCATTTCCTTGCATAATCATTTGCAGTGATCCTTATAAGTCTCGGTTGTTTCTGCCTTGGGAATTGGACCTTGCTGCTGTCAGCTTTATTCCTCAGGTTCTTAAACTGAAATGTCATTGACTGATTACTCAAGGGCATAGAAAACAATGTAAAGTTGGAGGCATCTTTACATTGTTTTCTATTCCCTTCAGTAATATCTTGAAAAAAAAGGCACTTTGAAGAAAAGTTGGGAGAGGGCAAGCACATGCCCACAGTGCACCCCCTCCCCCTACAAAATTGCTCATGTTTGTTAGTTTGCAAATAGCTGCAAAACAAGTTTATTAATATATTGTAGTATGTGATTTGCATATTTCATCAGTGGAATTAACAATTTGATGGGAAAAAATTTTAACAACCACAGCTGCATACAGTCATATACTGCAAAATCCCAATAAAGTGCTAACTCTCTTTTAACCAATTAGTTTAATTTTTTCCCCATTGAATTTAACATACATGTGATCTGGTTAATGCACAATATTTAGCTGATGAATGCTAAATGTGGGTGATACTTGCATGGTGGTCAACTTTACTTGCATATCAAAAAGTTTATGCTTTATCGGAGCAAAAAATGTATTTGTTCCATGTTTCGCGCACCAATATAGTAAACGTTATGTAATGGATATTATAGTGTGCTACAAAGTCAACTGGATATCTCCATATACATATATACACACCCTAACCATAACCTTAAACCTAACCTATATTGGTGTGCGGAACATGGAACAATAACCAAAAATTGAAATATAAATTATGATATATAAATCATATATAAATTATAGATTAAACATTCCACACATTTAGCGAAGCTTTTCAATCAAATAAGTTGAATAATGCTTACTTAAATTCAATCATGATGTCTGATCTGACAAAATCATGAAATAATTAATGTATGTGCTTTCTTTCTGCCATCTTGGATTTTTGTGTAATTATATGCATGTAATTGTTACGTTGCCATGACAGAAATTTGTGGCCTGTTGCGGTCAGAGTTTGTTGGTATCCAGTATGTTGAATACCATTCTTTGTAAGTTTGACTGGCTAATAAGGAAAATTTCCCGCGGTTCTTTAGAAGTTATTTCAATATTGTACTTTATATTTTTTTCCTATATTATAAAATATTTTTTCATATCAGTGATTTTTTCATTCCTCAGATTTCTTGGTTTTCCTGAGCTTTCCTGAATTAGCCATTTCCCAATCGAGCAAAGGACTGTGTCTAGTTGATGTTCGGAGGGACAACAAGTTATACTGAGCGACCTAAATATATATTTAAAGATGCCTTAATTATAACTGTTGCATTTCAGGCTGCACAAAGAATTTTAGGAAGTTAGTTTTCTACATGCCATATTCGGCATATTGTTTATTTTTGTCCCTCCAAAACAAGCGACTAGACCCAGTCCTCTGCTCGATGCGGAAATGGCTAATTATTTTCTTATCCTGAAATTTTTTTTCTTGAGCTCAGGATTTTCTGAGAATCAGTCAAGTTACTTCGAAGCAAAAGCGCTGATGGCTTCAATCGATGGTATGTATGTTCAAATATCTATGAGCAAAACTGACTTCCAGCAAGCCTCCTTCAATTTCCCCCATTTTTTTGCTTATGTTATTGAGTATAATATAGATAATCACTAAAGGCTTGTGAAGAATTGGAAGTTATAAGTAATATGATGGGTTCATTAATCATTAAAACACCAGATCAAAATTGTTTGTACACTTCACTAAAGAAAGCATGAAATTTGAATATTAGCGTTATCATGCTGTTTCTTTTAACAGGCATTGCTGTCATAACTTCATGGACAAGGAGGAAACAGTCAGAGGTGTCTCGCAATTTTGCAATTGCAATTTAAATAAGCAAGATTCGAACTTGTATACTCGCTTGCTGGCCGATGTGGAATCAAAGTCGAAACCATATGAGAACTCTCATGACTTTCGTTAGACTGACCTCCTTTCTGTAGCCAGCAGCCAGAAGTCCGGTGGATCACACGGTTTGTGCACAAAATGGTATATCACCATTTTTCCTGTCTTTGGGGTTAAATGATAAAGAATGACACGACAGTGGAAATACCATACATTTTTGTGTACCAGTAATACAAAATGCTATAACCGACATCGGTTTTGGTGCAAAATTGAAATGCCGATATCTCAGGACCTAATTGATAAAATTTGATCAAATTTGGTGTGCTTGCTTATCCTCACTAATACATCCAACTGGTGCAATTTTGGATAAAATCTGAGATGGGTGGGTGACATGCACTTGTTGAGTTGACATGGAATGGACCCTAGTATGTTTTTGTCTTTGGTTTATGCAGAAATGGTCGCTTCATGGTCACGTGTGTATTGTATAAACTTCGTCAAGTGGACCAATAGTATGTTTTTATTAAACCATTACCATTGTATGATGTCATGACTGAATAACCACACCAACACACTGCTATTGATTCATTGAGCTGAAAAACAATACACACATGATCATGAAGCGACCATTTTTTTCATAAACCAAAATAACAACATAGATAATGAGATCTATTGTATTCTCATCGAGTTTCGTAACCATCTTGTCCTATTGACTATGGTGGGTTTTTGAAGTGCCTACATCACACGGTTTTTCCATGCATGCAAATACAGCTAAATTTATTTCGGACCGACAAGTTTCCCACATTGCATCGCGTTTTGACACTGGCGTGACGTAAGCACTTCAAAGGTCTATTGACTAGTACACAAGTCATTCCTATGAATTGTACGCAAATTTTGTTTCATAGTTAAATAGAATTTATTTGTAGAAGGTCATGATCGAAAGAAAAACAAATTATTTTCATTAGCGTTTTCTACGAATTAAATTTATTTCATTTCAAAGTGCGAGTAATAAGTAGCTTAAGTTGGCAAAAAGCAGTTAATTTCAATTCACATTTAGAGAAGTTTTATGCAGGGCCGAAGCCCTGAAGAGGTTTAACCTGAACATTCTGAGAGGCCTTATTTAACTAAAATAACATATATCCCAAGTTTTTATTCAATTGCAGTTCCTTTCTTTTGTGCTTTCTAGAAAATATCTGGCGTCGGAGCAACATATTTCCGAAATGTTTGGTGATCTTAGTTTACGAGAAAGTGAAATAACTGAAAGTGAAGAAAGTGTGCCTGGTGAAAAACGTATGTCTGAAGTAACTGAAGAAAGTGTGCCTCGAGCAAGTCCGGTGTGTGGTGATGAAGAAAGTGTGCCTGGTGAAGAATGTATGTCTGAAGTAACTGAAGAAAGTGTGCCTCGAGCAGGTCCGGTGTCTGGTGAAAAAGAAAGTGTGCCTCAATTAAGTCCGGTGGAAGAAGATGCTGATGAACCGCTCACAGAAGAGAACTTGAAAACATTTTTTTTTCTTGCTATCGCACCACCTAATCAAACTCGGGGTCAAAACCAACAAGGAAGTACTGGAAGTTTCGAATGAAAATTCCTGGGGCCCTGACCAGGAGAGACTTGTTAAGAAGGCTTTTCGTAAAGAACAGTGGCGTAGTGGTAAAGTGCAAATGTGACGGAGAAAAATCAAAGACAAAAACCACAACGGCCATTAAGCACATCGAAAGAAACCATGAGGATGTGGAGACTAAAGAAATCACCCTGGACAAGGAGGATTTCACAGTTGAATTTCCTAAAGGTATTTCCTATACTATTTGACAAAGTTAATGAAATTATTTGAAAATCATAATAAAAATTAAGGATCATTATTACACCCGCCCATTGATTATTAAAGTCGAAGTCTAGTAAGGCACTTTGATACATTTATATTTTTTCTCGTTACCGTCGCAAGTTGATTCGAACTGACGTATTGTAGCGGGAGGCTGAGTGTAGGGCGGGTATAATACCTCGTTATATTCAGGTTGTTTAATTGGTCAATTATGGTCACATGATATTGAATAGAAAGTTCCATTTCCAAAGAGTGCAATAGTGCTAATACTATTGCACACTCCAGAGTGCAACAGTATGTGTACTATTGCACTCTATGTTTTCCACACACTTTTCGGACAGTGATCGCAGTTTATTTACACAGTTTATTATTATAGTTTTTTTACACCGTTTATTATTATAGTTTTTTAATAAACTGTTCTTGAAAAGCAATAGCCTACTCGGCTATCGCCTCGTTGAATAGAACATTCCATCTTTCACCTCATGAAAATATTGTTACCATTCCACACATCCATTATTTGTATAATAATACACCAATTGCGAACTTGGTGACCGCGCCTTCCCCCATGTGTTTCTTTTTTAGTGCAGCAACAAAAAGAAATTGGCAATGCCTGTATGCAAATTGTAGTCTTTGAAAGCGCTTGCACTTTATACTTTCAGATTGTTAAGTGGCAGTCCCGCTAAGAGCGGTCCGATGACTTTGACTTCGGAAAATAGATTTCCTTTATTTTTTGTGTGTTGAAAGGCATTGGTATACAAGTGTCCAAAATAAATTTATTTTTTGAAAATTCTTTTTTATGGCTTCGCTAGACGCCGAAACTCATTTTACCCGTGCAAAGCTAATTTCAAGCAAAATCGAAGGTTGAATTTCGGTAAATTGTAGAGCCGCGCTGTGTCAAAATGCCTGACTATTTCCAAATTTCAACTAGATCAATAAGTTAAGATACAATTCAGGTTCCCTGTTCCAAAAAATAAGAGCATTTGAATAAATTGTGAATAAAGGACAGCAACTTGACGGCACATCGGTTTTTGCTTCTTGTTCGGTCTACAAAATTGCACTAAATTCGAAGCCTGAGATCTCCAAATGGGGACCTAAAATTACGCTGAAATGTGTTTGGCTGTAATGACTTATACTTATTTTCAGAAGATCTGAAGAAAAACCTGCGGGTATCAATCTGTATTTGGCACGAGTTAAGATTTTCTGGAGCCCATAATCAATGATTTTTGCATAATTTATAGCTAATTAACATATTTCTTGAGAGGCGCTAAAAGTTAACAATTTCTTTCTGACTAACATATCTCAGATGAAAGAAACTACCACAGCTAGTAATACCCTTTTTGTAAATATAGTCGTAATGTTCTTTTCCTGACACGCTGCATGAGAGAGCTTTGTTTTTTAATGTTATGCCACATTTATTCAGTCTGACCAGATTCATATAAATGTCACGAACTTGTATATTTCAAAAATATACCAGAAATCAGAATTCAGAAAGACCGATTATTCTTTCATTGATTCAGTTGATTGATTTAGTTGATTGATTTAAAAAACTATAAGTATAATAAAACATTCCACGTATTTCCATTGCCCCTATATAGGCCTAGAATTTTTATCAATATGTTCTATTTTTCTGTGGCGACGGCATATTAACAAAATACGACACAAAAATGTACATTCGAATTTATGACCGACATATCAGAATGTTATTTATGAAGTTTGAATTGAATTTACTTAACGCGAAATAAATACTAAAATAGGAATCATAGTCTATGCTGGGTTAGTAAAAGAAAAAGCATAATTTTAATTGTATGTAACTTCGATGAATACTATAAAAAAAATTATACGCATTGTTT